AAGCCTAGCTCCGCCATCATGGGCGCTGGTCTCGGCAAGGATGTTGCACTCATCACAGACGGCCGCTTCAGTGGTGGTAGTCACGGCTTCTTGATCGGTCACATCGTGCCCGAGGCGCAGGAAGGTGGCCCCATTGGCTTGGTTCAGGATGGCGATGAGATCACCATTGACTCCGAGTCCAACGAGCTAAACATTGGCGTCAGTGAGCAAGAACTAGCCGAGAGGCGGAAGAAGTGGACCGCGCCCGCCTTGAAGTACCAGAAGGGTACGCTTTTCAAGTACGCGCGATTTGTCAAGGATGCTAGCCAGGGCTGCGTTACCGACTCTGAGTAATCTTCACGTTTGAATGTCTCTCATGTTTGCATCTGTATGTATATTCTGATGGCTACAGCTGGGGTAAAAGTCACATCCGGAGTTCGGGCGGGCGATATTTGTATATTCGACACAATGTTATCGATATAGCTATTCGATCTTCAGCATCCTCCTTCATACAGGCTGTCATCGCTACAACGTCTTGAGCTTGATCTTCCGTCGGCTGCATAGCCTCTTATTCAGCGCTCTGTCTTCCAGGTTCTGACAACACTGTATCAAGCGACTCCTTCATCATGGCCCAGAGCAAGCTCTTCGAATCCTCAAAAGCATCGCACATGACTTTGTCCACGTCTAACCCGAGCCCTGTGTAGAAACTCCTCGCTCAATGCATCAACACCGGTAATGACTCTAGTGTCACCATGCTCGAAAAAAACCGATTCTCCTCAAACTTCAGTCTACGAAATTTTGACTGGTGTCCTCAAAGCAGCTACACTGCAAGGTTCATCATCTTTACGGTATGGCATCATGGCATAGGTGCTCGAATGTTCCGAGTAGTGAAGGTATCTGGTAAGCAGCAAGAGGTGCAATGTCTCCTTGATCAGCTCATAGTGCCAGCCCTTACTGACCTAGCAGCGTCAGTAAAAGCTGACCGCGGTCTTGGCGGGACTGAAGCCAGGGCGGTATTGAAGAGGGATAGTCGTGCTCTTTCTCCACACGAGCCTGGATGCCACGAAAGGACAACTGCTCTGCAAAGTGGCGAAGAAGGTTGTATTGTGTCAAACATGGAGAAAATACGGAACCAGTGAGGAAGAAGGGAAGGCCATCTAAAGACAAGGGCTGTATAATGAGCTGTTATCTGAGTTTGACAAGGCTGTTGACATCCTGGTACATTTGGTCCCTGATCAATGATAAAAACCAAAGACAGGCACGGCATAAAGTTCCGATACGAAAAACAATAGAATATGCGGGATCATCTCCCGTAAAGTTGCGGCAAGTTGAATCCCTGATCCATTCCTTGCCATGTTTTTCTGTGAAGATTGAGTTTCCCTTTCTCATGCCGGTGAGTGACAAGAGTTTCGGAGAAAGGTGCGGACAGGTGGGCACGTGAACGCATTGACCGCCCTGCGTCGAGAACCACGCCTGGATCGTTTCATCACACACTTACACCTGCAGCCTCAGCTTCATCATGGCAAACTCCGCAACTTTAATGATTTGTTAAGGGGTCGCAGTGACCCAAGAGAAGGCCCAAGGAAAGGTAATGCAGGGCGAGCAGTATGTGACCTGGTTGCGCAGCTCCCGGGAGCATGGATTCCGCGCAAGATAGCTCATTTCTCCCCTGACCCGGTGTTTTGGAGTGTTTGTTGATGATCAGGTGTTCATGTTGGACAGTAAGGTACCTGCGCTGGCTGAGCTTGGATAGCTGACGATCATCGACGAAGGAGATGGGAGACCGGCGCAAAGCGGCAAGATTTTGCCAACAACGAGGCGAAACGGCAAGTGTTCATTACCGCTATCTTGGGACGACATGGAAATGCACTCGCATCGATGACCGGAAAGCTGTAAAGTGGGATATCGGCGAGCTGTATTGCCGGCCATCGAGATACCTGCCGTTACAGCTCGAACGACAATCAAGAGTGGAGCTGATCTCCCTCGTTCCGTTAGCCGCGTCGATCATCGCGTCCGCTTTGGGCTGCCCTTGACGCGCTAGACAGAACTTGCCGATGACGCTGAACCATATGTTCCGAAAACGCAAGATCGACGTCTTGGAATGTAAGTCATGGAAGGTGCAGATCGTCAGGGGAGTCATCCATACAACGCAAGCCTAGGGTCACAGAAGACTGGATGAGGCAAGACAGATGCATCGTGAGCCTCACCACCTCGCAGATGGCCAGCAGGATGAGGCGAGTCCCTGATGAGACGGCAATCTGAGCACAATCACCGTTGACTTCCGCAGTGTCCTGCCGCCTACAGATTCTCGCCCCAATTTCGAGTCCCCCGCGAGAACTAAGACGTGTCTTTGACAACTGTTGCGCAACCTGACTTACTCGAGCCCATGAGTAGCGTTCCGGAAGCTTGAAAGCCGGGATCTACCTCAAAAGACGCGCTAAGGATAAGGGACTAGTCCCCTTATCCTCTAGCATTCTTGGGCCATACCTCAGAGGATCAAATCTTACTCCTCAGCTAGGCCAACAAGCTTCAGAGCGGTCTACGTGCAAGAGCCTCATCAGCAACGGCAGTATCGGCGATGCTTTCATGAAGATCGCCAATGCGTGCGCCATGACTAGGCAAGCTGTAGCTCTAGTCTTCTCATCGTGGTATGGCTTGGTGTAGGATCTCTCCACCCCGGTGACGATTGCGGCTTGTCTTGGGCCTGAGCGTCTAGGAGAGTATCGATTGACTAGACGTGCTGACTCGGTGTATCAGAAAGTACCTGGGTGCTGTGAGGGCATATAAACCATACTGCAGTCCACCTACAATCATCATCCAGCTCACCTACCACACTCTTTCAGTTCTTTGCCAATCGCTCAGTTCGCTATAGACTAATAATACTTATCCCTCTTAATATCCACCAACCCACCAACAAAACTCCAACCGCCAAAATGCGTTCCTCCATCGCCGTTAGCATCATTGCTCTCTCCACCTCGGTCCTCGCAGCCCCTACTCCTCAGGTTGCTGGCGTCAACAACCTTCTTGGTTCCGTCACCAGCACCCTCGGCTCTGTCACCAACCCCGGTGCCGGCAACGACAACCTCATCCAAGGCAACGGCAACAGCAACGGCCAGAACAACGGCAACGGAAACACTGCTGGCAATGGCAACGGCAACAACAACGAGGCTGGTAACGGCAACTCTGCTGCCAGCGGCAACAGCTTCAACCTCAAGCCCCTCGGCAGCAGCATTCTGAACAACGGAAAGCGTGCGGCGCTTCTTGACAACCTCAACGGCGTCCCGGTTGCTGGCACCATCCTCAGTGGCGTCACTGACGGCAAGGGTGGTCTCCTCAACGGTGTCACTGTTGGCCCTACCACCGACGGCATCACCGACGGTGTTCCCGTTGTCAATGGCCTCGTTGGCCGTGGTGTCACTCAGGGCCTTGACGTCAGCCAGCTGAGCCAGACCCAGCTCCTCTCCCTCCTCAGCCAAGTCACCGGCGCCCTCCAGAACACTGGCAACACTGCTACTGGCACCGTCAAGCCGGTTACCGACGCCACCGTCCCAGTGACTGATGCTGTCAAGCCTGTCGCAGCCGCTGCCGGAGATGCCGTGAAGCGTCAGTTGAACGTTGGTGGTCTCACTGGTACTGCCGGCGGCCTCGTTGGTGGTGTTACTGGCACCACTGGCTCCGTCACTGGTGCTCTGAAGCCCGTCACTGGTCAACTCCAGCCCGTCACCGGCACTCTCAAGCCCGTCACCGGCGCCACCGGAGGCCTCACTGGAGATCTTCTCAAGCGTCAGTTGAACCTTGGTGGTGTCACCGGCACTGCTAACGGCCTCGTCGGCGGTCTTACTGGCTCTACTGGCTCCGTTACTGGCACTCTCAAGCCCGTCACTGGCCAGCTTAAGCCCGTCACTGGTGCTCTCAAGCCCGTCACTGGTACCCTCCAGCCTGTCACCGGTACCGTCGCTGGCGCCACTGGAGGCCTCACTGGCGATGTCCTCAAGCGCCAGGTCGACCTCAACAGCGTTACTGGCACCGTCAGCGGCCTTGTCGGTGGCATCACCACCACTGCTGGCTCTGTCACCGGCGCCTCTGCCGGCAGCGGAAACTCGCTCCTCAACAACGGCAACAACAACGGCCAAGGCAATGGCGTAAGTACCTATTCAACCCCTCCTATCTCGACTTTTAACTAACATCCACTTCACAGAACAACAACCAGGCCGGCAACGGTAACGGCAACGGAAACAGCGCTGGAAACGGCAACCAAGCCGCCAGCGGCAACGACTTCAACGTAAGTCCCGAAACCGAGCTTCCTGAGATCAACGGCCCGCTCGTCGAGCTGCCTGACCTCAACATCGCTCCCACGATCAAGTCAGTCTAGTCTAGATCATTGGGTAGTAGCTAGAGTTTCATGACATGTGCTAACGGTCTCTTGCAGCTTTAAGTGAAGGCGACTATGAATTGAGTGCGATATACTCGGGACGACTTTCCTTTCTACGATGACGATGGCATACCCTGGTTTGCTGGATCTCTATACATATTTAGTTGTAGTACCAATGTACTGTTTTGATCACTGAACCATTTGCGTTTTATCCAATCGTTTCATGCGTGATGCCTCAGTAACAGAAGTCCCCAACAGCTTTACACACCTTCAGTCAACGACAGAGGCAACAGTCCTAAGATTCGCCATTTTCATGCTTCTACGTCCATCTCCACATGTACTTCCGTACCACGTACTTGGAGCTGTCCTGTCGAATTGCTACTGGCAATGTATGGAATTCCCGATATCATGAGGTCTACAAACAATGAAAACTTTTTTCGGCCAATGTCTACCAGCATATACGGCAGCAGTTCATACGGTAACAGTAACATCACGGCAGTCGTGCACGGACACACTTTTGGAAAGCAATGTCCTGTATAGCCCTTTACACAAGGTAGGAATTGATGAAGATAATTAACGTCATTAGTTATTACTTGCTCCTGTTGTGCTCCAAAAACACCGTACGCGTAATAATTATTTTGCGCCGTGCTTAGTGACCACCAGTAGTGGGTAGCTATCAAATAATTAGCACAATGTCCTTGAACGTGTTTGGGTGAACAACTTACGCCGAGGTAGACCTTGAAGGAATCGTAGATGAGCCATTGGAACGCAGTCAAAGTACCAATCATGAATATACGAACAGGCAGTCCGTTCCAAAGGCCGCCGAAACCGATCTTGCCGTATATCCTGCCGATAGCCTGACCAGCGCCCTCGCCAGCCTTTCGGTCGCTGTTGAGCTTTGAGACCATCACATCTAGTATATGTTAGCTCATTTTCGCGCCTCTAGATTCTTTACGCAATGTTCTCAACGTACCTGCGGGATGCGAGACGACTGCACATCCGACACCAGCAATATATCCACCGAGGAAGCTCACACCGGTTTGCTGCAAAGCCCCGTATGACTCCTTTGGCTTACCCAAGAAGCCGTAGATTTGCTTGACTGTCTCTTCAAATGTTGCGAACTTGACCATGGTGTACGGGATTTGACGCGCCCACAATGGGTACAAGCCCTTGTATAGACCACCAACACCCTCCTCCTTGATCACCTTCGCCCAGCCTTCTCTCAGTGTGTTCGCGAACGGTGGCATGGTAGTCTGCATGCGGACCTTGATTGCTTCCATAGGACATAGCGCGATGTCGGCGAGGAACTCGGCAGAAGCGGAGGCAGCTAGGTATACGACTGTTTGCGGCGCGCCGGGCGCCAGCTTTTCGCCGTACAGGTATTTGAATACCTCGTAAAATCCGTACTTTCCAGCACCTTGCATCGAGTAACCGATGAAGGTTGGTGTCCAGCCGAAGAAGACGCCCCGTAGACCTTCTTTGGAGTAAATCATTTTCCAGGCTTGTGAGTTGGACTTGTAGAGGTTGGAATCGACTTGACGGCGGCATTTCACCTGGAAAACATTAATTAGCAACTGGAAGCCTAATTGACAGCCTGTAAAGTCCCCATGCCATCACGCGCTCTCTGCAAAAGTATGTGACTTACCAAATCCAGCGGCGTGACCATAGTGTGTGTAGGTCCACACGCGATTATGCCACCCATCGTACACGCCGCAAAGTACGAGCCTGAGAAGAGCTCGATCTTTCTCTGCGGCTTCATCGCGTCCAATTTGTTGGCCATTGTGAGTGATTACCGAATTTCAATCGCTTCAATCGCGTTTATGGGCTTGTTTTCGCGCGCGGTATGGTAGCTATCGTCGTGTCCACGCCGGTTGACTGGTATAATCGTTGTCGCGTGCTGCTTCCCAGGATGCTGTCGCACGCGAAGAAGAGATTGAGGATATGTACAAAGGATAGACGAACGCTGATTAGAAGAGAGAACGGGAGATCGGATTAGACTACCTAGGCACAAAAGCCGACCGGGGCGCCTTGTTATGACCGCACAGCTTGGATAGTTGGAAAGCTTGTCCGCAGCTTCCGCAATTACCTCGCTATGACGTCGCTGCTGCAGGTGGGACGCGCGACCACCACGCTGACGAAGCCTAGCGTGATGCTTATCGATACATGAACCCCCGACCCTCCGCGCGCGAACTGTCGGGTTTCGCTGCCAACAGCGCAATGAAAATCCCGTTCTGCTATGTTGAATGTCAATCAACTTTGTGATAAATGCGGGGGAAGAGAAATCGTTCCAAATTTCTTCACGTTGACTTTTTACGAACCAAGGTCCGCGACTTACTCGACTGCTCGGGCAGCTTCACGCTGGAGAAACAAGATGTTATTATTTGCGTGATAATCATTGTTATTTGCTGTGTCGTGAAGAGGCTGAAGGTCGTCAAGCGTGATCGTCATACCTGGTCTTTAATATACAGACTCCCCCGTCTAAGTACGCCAAAGCACCACGCTATGCCGCCCAAGCATGAACAATAAAGCAAAGAATGATGAAGAACCGAAGCCAAAACGCCAATGCCAGGGTGCATCACCTGCAGTCCACATGAAGCATCAATCCCTATCAATGACTCCGTCGAAGACCCGGAATGTGCAGGGCTCAAAAACCGTCTGCATATGCTCTCATGCTCTCATGAAACCCATGAATCAATCCCCACCACCCTGAAATCTCGTTGAAATCGTGATTCGCTCATCTGGTAACAATGCGAGCCTCAACTCTTCCCTGAAGGGCCGCTGCTGGCGCCGCCATACCACAAAGAAGCGAAGATAATGAGCGGATGGAGCTGGGTAAATTGCGGGCGGACGGAAGGCCACCCAGCAATTACATGTTGTTATCGTGTATGTTGTCAGTCTCTGAATCACTACCAAAGTCGGAATGATCATAGAGATCTTCCGCTGATAGGCCATCGTCCTGTGGCCATGTCTCTAGCCTTGGCTCTATCTCTCCAGTCCAGTGTGCAATTCGAGAGCTGTCGTTGGTGTCGTCTCTGTATGGATCCAATTCGGGATCCTCGCTATGGATCAGATCGTAGAGCTGCTGAACGAGAAATCGGCAAGTTTCGATGAGAGGAGATAGATGAGGTCTGAGCATGCCGTGATCCTTCTCGTACAGAATGCGCTCCATCATGTCGGTGGCCATCTCGCGGAGTACTCTCCACCTCATTTGCACCAGATCTAGAGGCCATCCTTCGTAGCTCTTGTATAGCTCGCAGACCAGCATATGTGCACCTTTTCGCACACTGTCTTGTGCGTGTAGCAGCAAAGGAGTGGCCCATATGCGGCTTTTCGCGATGATCCATGTGAAAAATATGTGTCGGTGCTTTTGTTGAAAGATGGCCGCATTCTTTGTTTGCAGAAGACCGCCAACAAAATCCAGAACCGCCAAGCCTCCTGGTACACGGTCATCGTCCATTCTACTGGCTGACGCGACCGCCTTCGAAACCGTTGTCACGATCTTGTAAACGTTGTCCACCATCGGAGAGCTCTCGCAATACGAGAGTGCCGCTTTCACGTAAGAATCGCAGAAAGGGGCTTCGAGGGAGACACCCTCGTAGATGCTCTTCAAAAGATTAGTCTGGACTTGTGGGTCCTGCCAATTGAGCATCGATTTGACAATATCGCCCGGGTGGAAGTGTTCCAACTTTGTCTCATCGAACATTTCCAAGGCCTTGTCTAGAACCGCGATCGCCTTCAGGTCGCTGTCCCAATGGTACAGAACTTGTCGTTCATGGAATGTTAGTGGAAAACTCGAGGTCTCCCGATCCAGCGTAGACAGACGATCGTGCTCGTGGCGAAGAGGTTGCAGACTCGTGTTCATGCGTGAGAGCAACGCTGATACGAATCCAATGAACCTGTTGTAGATACCCGACTTCTTGCTTATGATTCTCCAGAGATCGGGTTGGTCGTCCTGGAATCTAGCGTACGAGTGCATGCAGAGTAGCCTCAAGCAGAATACCAGGAAGCCATGGTCCAATAGAAGACCGGTTTCCAGATGGCCCATCTCGGCCAGTTGAGTCAGCGTGAGATAGAAATCATCCCAGCCCCGTACGGCCATGTAAGATTCGTCTGCAATGGCACGTAACCTAGCGGTAATCTCTGAAAGTATACCGTTTGTCGGAGTGGAAGATTCTAGATCCATCTCGTTGTCAGCGCCCTCTAGACCGTACAGAGCGGGCTCTTTCTCTCGCAAGACTTTGAGACAGTCAATGAAAAAGCTGCGCATCTGGGACCGCACTTTAGCATGCATGCAGCGAAGAAGCATGTTGAGAAGGGCAATATCGTCGGTAGCGAGTATCTTGAGAACGATATTGCAGCAGGTTGAGCATGGAAGGACCGACCGCCGCAGCTGCAGTATCGTCTCGGAGAAGATATCGGCATTTGTATGACGCCAGACGATGTGCCCTAGATGCGCAAGTACTATCTGCAAGGAGTGCTTTTCCTGTAGGAAGTTAGCGTCTCGGACTTAGTAGGTTGAAGATAACATGGCGTACCTGCGTGTGGCCTTCGGAGCAAGAACCGTGGTTGAGTGTACGTGACATAGCATGCAGCTGCCGCACGAACCTTGTATGATTGGGGTCGAAGCGGGAATATTCTCGGATAAACAGCTCGTTGGCAAAATCAACTTCCTTCTGGAGAGTTGGCGGCATGGGAACCTTGAGCGTTTTCCCGTCTGCAGAAGTGACCCACTCACGCTGGTCATCATCCACAGCGGTGCGGCGTTGATAGAAGAGCATATATGCCGAGTATTGTTTTGGTATGCGGTTGTATGAATCGTCCGTGAAGCCTCCGAAAGCTTTGTAAGCAATGTCTGCTGGGTCGAAAGACCCAACACTGCTATCATCAAATTCCACCCAGGTTTGTGCCGTGATTTCTGTGGGACAAGGTCGCTCACGAATGTAAGAATAGTAATGACCGTGCTCGCAGGTGCCCGTGTGTACGAGCACACCAACAAGATCGAACATATCGGCTTCTTTTGGCTTGCTTGGGTCACTGAGATGGTCGACATGGTATGCGCTAATGTCAATGGTCGGTGGGAACTCGAAATAATCGTAGACCTTCCTACGGCTAAAATCGGCCAGGTCGAATTCGAAGCGCTTTAGGTGGAAGATGAGGTTGTCGGGCACCTCCTTGAAACAGGTCCTGATTTTGTCAGCTTCTTGCTTTGCCAAATATACATGCGACTCACCGTTTGACTGCGTCGACGTATTTGCCATCGCACTTCTCGCACTTGTACTTGTTGTCGCCTTCCATGACATCGCCTCTAACAAAAGCCTGGAGACTCTCCTGTAGCGTTGCTTTGCCCAAAACATCGCATTGTATTGCAAAGAAAGGCTCTGATCGTTCCGAGACATGCTCACATTCCTTGGATTTGATCTGATTCAAGGTTTGCCCTCCGTAGAATGAGCGAAATTGCTGCTTGTGCTCGTCCTTGATGAGCTGTCGTTCCCACTGATCGAAGAGGGAATTGTAGAATTCATCTGCGTCCATCTGAACGCTGATGTCTATTGGCATGAGTTCTGAGTTCCTTACGCAAGCTGCAAAGCTCCGGGGATCCGCGGCTTTGCGGAAGGAATGCTGCATGTTCGTGAACAGTCTCTGGGTCTCAAGAAGAAGTTTTTGAGAGCCACTGGCTTCCTGAAGCTCCAAACCGAGAATAAACTTGCGGAAATTGAGGTTCATGAAGAGCTGCGTGAGAAGCGAGTTCGCGTAGCAGATGGCACGAGGGTTGTACAGACCCACATAGCCTGTGCTAGAGCGTATTTCCAAGGAGCGATCGACTGCAAGCGTTGGTATTGCTGGCTCATTCTCCTCGGTCTCTACGTCTGCTGCAAGTTTGACCAGGCTATTGTACGTGCTGCTATCCTCAGCTAGTGCAAGCATGAGATCGTACATCTCATGCCTTGTGTGAGACTCCAGTATGGGAGCAGTGGCTGCGCTGACCACTGCAGTAGAGGAGCTGGGCCATGTCAGTATGTCACTTGACTAAAAGAAGAGAGAGTAAGATGCAAAACTGAGGTGAGGTCAATGCGAACAAGCGAAACATGGAAATGATGTGCGTGACTTACCTCTTCGTAAAGATGTACTTCCTGAAGATCTTTTCCATCAAGTCGCCTGCACCAAGAGGCTTCTTAAAAGACTTGAGTGACAGTATGCAGCACAGTATGAGTTTCGTAAGCCCAAAAACGACGCGGTCGATGTCGTCCCGGCCGACAAATTCCTGATGTTGGTGATCCAAGAGCAGGTCGCTCCAAGATGTTAGGTAAAGTCGGAGTGAAGGTTCGTCCCGTTTGTACTCGTCCTTCGCCCGGAAGACTTGCTCGGCAATGCTGAACAGTTGCTGTGATTGAGCGGGAACGCACAATGAGCCCGGAATGAGCTCGGAAATGACTACCCAGAATTGTGTGGCAATCTCGCCTTTAGTGATCGGACATGTGGATGGAAGGTCGCCGCCGCAGACGGATGTGATCTTCTGAGCGACATGCTCTCGCACAGACTGCCTGGGGTCGCTCAACAGTAGAACCCGGTGGAGTCGCGGAGTTTGAGGATGCTCAACGAACGCTTCCCAGATAACTCGAGAGTGGAGTGAGGCCTCTAGGATAGTGCCGTAACAATCCTGGATTACGGTAGCATCTTCATTTGTTTCCAGTGCCATGCATAGGATCGTCACAAGGCGGTTTCCGAGCTGTGCGCCATCTGAGAAGTAAGCAGCCGAAGCGGCGGGAGAAGGACGTTCTG